GGGTGTTCTCCCGGAAAGTTCCGGGAGAACATCTGGACACCCACCCCAGAAAGCACGCACTTTCTGGGGTGTGTGTAGATGGGGACCTGGGAAAAATTGTGTTTTTTAAATGCCAATGTTCTCGGGTTAAAGGGCTGTGTGAAAGCGCCCTCTGTCATCATTTCAGGTGATCTATCATGGGATGCAAAGACTTAAGCATATCAGACAGTTGAATTACATTTGCTTCCTGGTATATTTCTGAACTTGACTCAAAAACATTGAGCTCCACCTTTGGACATACTCACTTAAGCATGAAGAAAGTGATATGGTCACACCCAACCTGAGGCAAGATGAGTTGATGGGCAAGGTTAACTAATCCATTTTATTCTTCTAACAAAACTGGTCAAGTCACAATTTTAAAAACTTTAAGAATGATTGAATCTGACAGTTTCTATAAATTAAGGTTGGACATAGTGTGCTCCATAAAGCTGCATTCAGCTTCCAAAGCTGTTTTTGCAGCTGGGCCTCTCCACATCCCCTGGCAAAAAAGAGAGAGAGAGAATGAGGGAGGAGATAGGACAATTAATTTTTAAATAAGCTTCAGGGTCCTTCCACTCTGTGTTTAATATTTTTACATTGTTTTTCAGAGTTAGAAGTGGACTTCCCACTTTATTTGCACTTCCCACTTTATTTGCCAATGTTGGTGGTCCACATTGCCCTCCAGAGGAGGAAAATGAATACTGCAGTTGTCCACCCCTGTAATCACAACCCAGGAGACTCTTTCTGGTTCTGGTAGCTGTATAACTTTCCTTTTTTGGGTGAGATTTATATATGGTCTGCAGAGTATTTTTCAGGCATGGCTTTCTTATTTGAAATTGTGACTGATCCATTGGTTTTCCTGAGAACTGTGGGGTCAGATACAGAGTTTTGGGGGTTTATTTGTTTGTTTAAGGCATGCAGGATTCTTCTGACCCTGTTGGTTTGTAGAAGTACCTGGAAAGAACACTTGCTGAAATCGAAACCCAGACTATAACTTCCATGAAATTGCATCCACATTTGTCTATTGCAAAGTTACAACATTGCAAAGTTACGAATAAGTCTTCAAAACACACTTCACTCCAAAAAGCCCATGATTGCAGGCGCACTGGCACTGTAGAAGTAATGGAGTTTGACACCACTTTAACTGTCACGGCTCAGCGTTATGGAATCATGGGAACTGTAGTTTTACAAGGTATTCCGTTGAATAGGACTGATATCTCACCCTGGATTCCACAGCATTGAGCATGGCAGTTAAAGTGGTGTCAAACAGCATTAATTCTACAGTGTAGATGCACCCCAAGATAGTGACATCTTAATTTTTTCTGATGATTCAATGCACACAAAATTTGTTTGGGCACAAAAAATTAAAAACATTGTCTAACAAGTTCTTCCTAGCCCAAGGTGAATGTGAACCATAACTGAATTTCATGTTTAGACTTGGGTCAAACCTACAAGATATCTCATTATGTATGTAGCATACAAATACAGGTTTTCCAAAACTCCCACTCATTGTGTATGCACAGGCTGGGCCAAAAGTCATAAACAGATTTCAATATCTAATAATTCCTTTATTTTCTGTTTTTTAGTTTACAATATCATAGCATCATAAACAGTATATATAGGAAAATACTTTTTTCCATGTCAGGAGTGACTTGAGAAACTGCAAGTCGCTTCTGGTGTGAGAGAATTGGCCATCTGCAAGGACGTTGCTCAGGGGATGCCCGGATGTTTTGATCGTTTTACATCCTTTTGGGATGCTTCTCTCATGTCCCTGCATGGGGAGCTGGAGCTGACAGAGGGAGCTCAACCCACTCTCCCCTGGATTCAAACCTGCGACCTGTCGGTCTTCAGTGCTGCCAGCACAAGGGTTTAACCCACTGTGCCACTGGCGGCTCCAGGAAAATACATTACATTACATCACATCACATCTAATGTAGTTTCCTATATATATATATATATATATATATATATATATATATATATATATGTAATTTCCTATATATACTTTCTTTTCAGGCAGGCTTTCAAAGAAGAAGATTTTAAGGCCAACTCAGGGGATGGGGTGTTTTATGTATTTTAAATAGGTTCTTAATGGTTTTAATACTTTATTTTTTAATCGTGTTTGGTTTAATTCTAGTTTACTGGTTATAGCCTTTAGGTTTCATAGTGTATATTGTATTGTTTTTAGCACTGTTCGCTGCTTTGAGTCTCTGCTAAGAGAAAAAAAATATATAAAAAAGAATAGCAATAACACAGTGAATTTAAACTTTACACTCTGTTTGTATTTTAATATATGTATTTGTGTTGTATTTTAATCCTTGCACTATGTATTTTAATTTTGTGACGGTGTATTTTAATGTATGTATTTTATCGGTGATGTGTTTTAACTGTGTTGTGCCCTGTCTTGAGCTGTGAGAAGAGGCAAGTATTAAATAAGGAATTATTTATATATTATTATTAATTATTATTATGTAATAATACATGCTTTAATTATTTATATATTTTAAAATCTTAATGAAATTTAATTTACATAGCATATTATTCTAGCAATTATTACTATTATAGCAGGATATTATTATGATGCTACAATAATAATAATATGACAGTATAATAATCATATGATGCTATAAGACATATTTTAATAACTGCTGTTTTAATAACGTTTCTAAACAAAAGAGCCGGTATGATGGCACACCGGGAAGGATTGATGAGAAAACTATATGTGTCCAGCCACTCTCCCAGTGACCATCGGTATGCCCTATATGTACTTTAATTCCCTCAAAATAAAACTCTAGAGACAAGACTAAATTCAACCAGTTAAGTTTACTGAACAATCAAGGTGAATCAAAACAAGACATAAAGGTGCAGTTTGATTCTTGATGGTATAGAATTAGAACAATAAAGAACAGGCATAAAGCATAACTCCGAGGCAAATATAAACAACAGGAGGCCATGAGATATAATGGCGGCATGTGCTCCGAGGCAACAACAACCACATTCTCCATGAGGCAAGCATTCTCCACAAACTCTGGGGCATGTACTATCTATGTTATTTGGGCAAATACTGGTCAATTCTATGGCATATACATCTATATTCTTTGAGGCATGTACATCTGTGTTCTATGTGGCATGTAAAACTCTCATCTATGGAGCAAATACAACTATTCTCTTTGTTCTCTGAGGCATGTATGTACTAAGGATCACCCGTTCAGACTGCCAAGCCAGATCAGACACTCTCCGGCCAACCACCACAAGCTATGTCCAAACAGAATGGAATAAAAGGTCCCTCCACCAGGCTCTGAGCCAGAATGGGCTGAACCAACAGAGCTCGTACTCTAGGAGGATCCTAAGGTCTCACTCTAAAACTTAGCAGAATGGAACAGTCCACCTCCAGGGAAATAAACAGAGGGGTAAAAACTAGGCCGAGACCTCACAGCCAGCATTGTCCATAGACGTCTCCAAGGTCATGTGGCCAGCATGACTGCATGGAGCGCCGTTATTTTCCCGCTGGAGTGATACAACTCACATTTGCATGTTTTCGAACTGCTAGGTTGACAGAAGCTGGACCTAAAAGTGGGAGCTCACCCCACTCCCCAGATTCAAACTGCCAACCTTTTGGTTAGCAAGTTCAGCAGCTCAGTGGTTTAACTTGCTGTGCCAACAGGGGCTAGAGTACCATAGCATATTATTATTATTATTATTATTATTATTATTATTATTATTATTATTATTATTATTATAGCATCATCTGGTTTCTGGCCCAGACTACATGTTATGAATCATCACAAAGTTTAAGATCATCTGGAGAGGCCCTGCTCTCGATCTCACCGCTGTCGCAAATGCAATTGGTGGAGAGGAGAGACAGGGCCTTTTCAACAGCGGTCCTCTGTCTATGGAATTCCCTCCCCAAAGATGTCAGTTTGGCCACCTCCCTCCTGTCCTTTAAAAGGAAACTCAAAACTTGCCTGTGGGACCTTACGTTTGACCATTGAATAGTGGCTTGTATGAAGAAGACATAAGCTATTTCGAAGTGACAATGAATTGACCTGGACCTGGATTTTAATTGGCGTGTTTTAACAACTGTTTATTTAATGTTTTGTTGATTGTTTTTATCATTATGATGGCACCGAATGGTGTTTGCTGTGAGGCCGCCATGAGTCCCCCCTTTAATAAATAAATATTATTGTAATATTATGCTATTATAATAATGATCACAGCATCATATTATTATTTAAAAAGAACAGCGTTTTGTCATTGTGCTATTGCACAATGAAATTACATGCCTCCCCCCTGCACACACAATATGACGCTATAATAATAATAATAATATTAAAATGCTATTTTTATACTTAAGTTTTATACGATTCCTAATATATTTTATGATGCTATAATAATGATTATAGCATTGTCGAAGGCTTTCATGGCTGGAATCACTGGGTTGTTTTAGGTTTTTCCGGGCTATATGGCCATGTTCTGGAGGCAATTTTTCTCCTGACGTTTCGCCTGCATCTATGGCAAGCATCCTCAGAGGTAGTGAGGTCTGTTGGAAGTAGGAAAAATGGGTTTATATATCTGTGGAATGACCAGGGTGAGACAAAGGACTTTTGTCTGCTGGAACTAGGCCTAGAATATGGCCATATAGCCCGGAAAAACCTACAACAACCCAATGATTATAGCATTATTATATGATGCTATTATTATATTCTATTGTTGTTAGTTTTATTATTACTATTATGCTGTAATAATAATAATATTGAAATGCCATTTACAATAGCAGAGCATCATTTCATCAATATTATTATTATGCTGTAATAATAATAATAATAATGAAATGATGCTCTGCTATTGTAAATGGCATTTCAAAAAGTGATGGAAACACCCGGTGCCTTTGCGCCTTTTGACCCAAGGAGCGCCTCCTCCTCCCCCCCCCCTTTGGGCCGGGGCGACGTCACCCCTGGAGCACCGCATGGCCATGACGTCATGCTGCCGGGGCCCGTGACGTCAGGGTGCGGCGTTGGGTCCGCTTCTGCTCCCGCGATGATGCCGGGGAGGGCGGGTTGCTTCGGCGGGTGCAGCTGGCCCTGAGCGCCGGGCGTGGAGGAGGAGGAGGAGGAGGAAGAGGAGAGCCCAAAGGGCGCCGGCAGCAGCGGCAGCAGCAGCAGCAACAAAGAAGAGGCGGCTTCTGCAAAGGAGCGGCTCTCGGCCGGCTTGGAGGAGGAAGAGGAGGAGGAGGAGGATGGCTGTCGGGGAGGGAGTCGGCGGAGGGGCTTCCCCGGGCCCGGCGGCGGTGTCCCTGGGCCTGAGCGTGGCCGTGGTCTCCAGCCTGGTCAACGGCTCCACCTTCGTGCTCCAGAAGAAGGGCATCGTCCGCGCCAGGGGAAGAGGTAGGCACGCGCCTTCTCCGGGCGGGCGCCGCTTGGGCTGCTCACCCTGCCTTCTTGACAGGAGCTGCAGGACAGAGACCTTGCAGAACTACAACTCCCGGGATCTAGTCCGTAGCGTCAGTACAGCTTGGCGCCCCTTGGAACTGCCACTGTCCAGTGCTACGGGGCCCCGGGAGTTGTAGTTCGCTCTGAGGCACCAGCCGTCTTCGAGCAGGGTCTCGAGAAACTACAACTCCTGGGATTCTACAGCATTTTACTATATAGAATTGCTGCGGTTTGACACTACTTTAACAGCGCTAGCTCTATGTTATGGAAGTCCTGGGAGTTGTAGTTCTCTGAGGCACCACTCGTCTTCAGTCAAGGTCTCACAAAACTACAACTCCCGAGCTTCTAAAGCATGGATTGCAGCTGTACTATATAGAATTGCTGCAGTTTGACACTACTTTAACTGCCCTAGCTCAAAGTTATAGAAGTCCTGGGACTTGTAGTTCTCTAAGGCACCATCCATCATAGAGCAGGGTCTCGCAATACTACAACTCCCAGGAATCAACGGCATGGGATGCTACTATACTACATAGAATTGCTGCAGTTTGACACAACTGTAACTGTCCTAACTCAATGTTATAGAAACCCTGGGAGTTGTAGTTCTCAAAGGCACCTGTGCTCTTAGAGCAGGGTCTCACAGAACTACAACTCCCAGGATTCTATTGCATGGGGTGCAACCATACTATATAGCATTACTGCAGTTTGACACAACTTTAACTGCCCTAACTCACTGCTATGGAAATCCTGGGAGTTGTAGTTCTCCAAGGCACCTGTGCTCTTAGAGCAGGGTCTCACAAAACTACAACTCCCAGAATTCTATAGCATGGAGTGCAACTATACTATATAGAATTGCTGCAGTTTGACACAACTTTAACTGCCCTAACTGAATGTTATGGGAATCTTGAGAGTTGTATTTTGGTGAGGCACCAGATCTCATGAAACTACAGCTCCCAGGGTCCCATAGCATTAGGCTATGCAAGTTAAGGTGGTGTCATACTGTATTCCTTCTGCAGTGGAGATGCACTCTTTGTGGAGGAGATAACAAAAACAATATTATTATTATTAATAATAATAATAATAATAATAATATGGGACCCCCTATTATTATTATTAAACTTCTGAGCTGCTTAACTTGCTGACCGAAAGGTTGGTGGTTCAAATCCAGGGAGCGGGGTGAGCTCCCGCTGTTAGCCCCAACTTCTGCCAACCTAGCATTTTGAAACCATGCAAATGTGAGTAGATCAATAGGTACTGCTTTGGAGAGAAGGTAATGGTGCTCCATGCAGTCATGCCGGCTACATGACCTTGGAGGTTTAGAAACTGAGTCAGACACAACTAGACTTAACATCAAGGGAAACCTTTACCTTAATAATAATAAACTTTATTTATACCCCGCCCCCTCTCCCCGGAGGGACTTGGGACAGCTTACAGCAATCCACAGATACAGAAAATAATATAAACAATCAACAAAAGACAACAAGAAACAATGATCACTACATAAAGTTAAAGTTACATACCAATAAAAACATTAATCAATAACAGCTTGAAAGCTACTTTCCCTCTAAAAACTACATAAATATAAAACATTGTTTAAACCAGTCCATTCATGTTGTCAGAATATCCAGCATTATGTTGTATTAGTCATTCAAGTCTTGTCAATGCTGTCTCTTTCTTCCTCCTTTTTGTTGGACCTGCTGTTTTGATTTGTTATTTGTTTTTTGGTACTGAATGTTTGCCGATTTCTTACTTTTGTTGGAAAGTGCCCTGAGTCCCTTCAGGGAGATAGGGTGGGTTATATATAAATTATTATTATTATTATTATTATTAGAAACACAACAAGATGAATCCACAGCAGACAAGATCACTCTGCTGGCTGTTGTATTGGATCACACGTCGGACACTTCCCAAGTGTCTAGGACTGTGTAATGTACCAGTGACTAATGCATGCAGATCCCACTAAGGTGGCCTTTTGCAGCTGACACATGATAATTTTTTTAGCCCCGATTGTGTTTAAGTGCAGGCCAAGGTCTTTAGGCACTGCACCCAGTGTGCCGATCAACACTGGGACCACCTTGACTGGCTTGTGCCAGAGTCTTTGCAGTACGATCTTTAAATCCTCATATTGTATAATAATAATAATAATTATTATTATTATTATTATTATTATTATTATTTACTGTCCTTGCTGCTTAGCCTCTTCACATCCAACCTCTTCATGGTTTACTTTGAGTGTGTCTACAGTGCAGATTTAGTGTTATTTGATTCCACTTTAATTGGCATGGCTCAATGCTATGGGATTCTGGGAGTTTGGTGAGAAACCAGCCCTCTTGGGCAAGGAAGGCAAAAGACCTTGCAAAACTACAGCTCACAGGATTCCGTATTCTTGATCCATGGACCCTCTTGTTATTCTTTCAATATTCAGTTCTTTCTTGGTGAAAGTCACCTTCACCAACATTGTTGTGTCACTGCATGCTGGACGCTCAGAATGTAACAAAAGTTTTCAGAGAAAGTAGTTATTGGCATCGTCTTGTCTGGTCAGGGAGGCAAAATGTGTAACCTCAGAATCAATGAGCTTGTTTGTATATTCAGTTTCTTTTATTATCTGAAAACAATACAGTATGACCTCCTTACCCGTGAATTTGATATCCATGGTTTCCCATGCTCTGAAAATGCCCCCTAGAGTCTTTGTGGGTTTCTCTGGGGGTGCATCTGCACAAAGCATGGGCAAACTTGGGCCCTCCAGTTGTTTTGGACTTCAACTCCCACTATTCCTAACAGGGGAAGGGCCTGAGGCTGTTAGGAATTGTGGGAGTTGAAGTCCAAAACACCTGGAGGTAGGGCCCAAGTTTGCCCATGTCAGATCTACACTGTAGTTTTACACCACTTCAGCTGCCATGGCTCAATGCTATGGAATCATAGGATTTGTAGTTTGGTGATGCATCAGCAGTCTCTGGCAGAGAAGGTTACAGACCCTGTCAAACTACATCTCCTATGGCTCCATAGCACTGAGCCATGGCACATAGAATGCTGACAAACTCCTTTAATTGTACAGTGTAGATCAGCGGTTCCATCCTTTTTTTGGCCAGGGAATACTTTGACCAGGGACCACTTTGACCAGGGACCACTCTACAATATTAGTACCAAAGGGGTTACAAATCAGGTTTTAGTCAACTTTAAATTCGGTTTGGGTACTGATTGAGAAAATTGCTTTGGATAGACCACATCAGCTCTAATTTCTGATATAGAACATATCCCTGGTCAGTGATAGGGAAGGAGTGGCAGTCCGTGTGAAAGGAGATGACGGGGAGGCGGGGTCGCAGTTGTCTATAGAGATTCTATCCATCTGACCAGGAGCCCCATCCCGCAGACCACAAACTTTGAATGCGTTCACCTGAGGGTGGGTGACCGGGACAGAATAGGGATTCTGTTAGTGTACCGTCCACCTCGCTGCACTACAGTCTCCCTACCTGAGCTAGCGGGGGTAGTCTCGAGCCTGGCGTTGGAGTCTCAACGGCTTCTCGTGCTGGGAGACTTCAATATCCATGCCGAGGCGACCCTCACAGGAGCGGCTCAGGACTTCATGTCTGCCATGGCAACCATGGGGCTGTCCCAACAAATATCTGGCCCCACCCACTGTGCTGGACATACATTGGACTTGGTTTTCTGCCAGGGATGGGAGCAGGGTGGCGGTGTGGAGGAGTTGTCCATCTCGCCGTTGCCATGGACCGACCACTTCCTGATCAGATTTAGACTCACTGCGCCCCCTAACCTCCGCAAAGGTGGAGGACCCATTAAGATGGTCCGCCCCAGGAGGCTTATGGATCCAAATGGATTCCTGACGGCTCTTGGGGAGTTTCCCGCCACCGCGGCAGGTGACCATGTCGAGGCCTTGGTCGCTCTCTGGAATGGGGAGATGACCAGGGCAATTGACATGATCGCTCCGGAATGTCCCCTCTCAAGTAGCCGAGCTAAACCAGCTCCTTGGTTTACTGAGGAGCTGGCAGTGATGAAGCGAAGGAAGAGGGAACTAGAGAGCGTGTGGCGCTCAGACCCAAGCGAGCCAAATCGAGCACGGTTTGTGTCCTTTCTAAGGGCATATGCCGCGGCAATAAAAGCCGCAAAGAAAACTTTCTTTGCGGCCACTATTGCGTCTGCAAAAAACCGTCCGGCGGAGTTGTTTCGGATTGTCAGAGGTCTTTTAACTCCCGCCACCTCAGGCGGGAGCCCTGACAATTCGGACACGCGCTGTGAAGCCTTTGCTCGGTTCTTTGCAGACAAAGTCGCTTTGATCCGTTCTGGGCTGGACACCACGTTAGATGCAGTCTCCGAGGATGTGACACGAGCACCTGCTTGTCCTATTTTGATGGATTCTTTTCAGTTTGTGAAGCCCGAGGATGTGGACAAGATACTTGGAGGAATGAGGCCCACCACGTCCATCCTAGACCCCTGCCCATCCTGGCTTCTGAAGGAGGCCAGAGGGGGATTGGCTGAGTGGGTAACGGTGGTGGTTAATGCCTCCCTTCGGGGAGGCAAGATTCCAGCGTGCTTAAAACAAGCAATTATAAAACCGCTGTTGAAGAAACCATCACTGGACCCCACTAAATTTGACAACTTTCGGCCTGTTTCCAATCTCCCCTTTTTGGGCAAAGTCATGGAAAGCGTGGTGGCCTCACAACTCCAGGTATTCTTGAGAGACACGGATTATCTGGATTCGGCACAGTCTGGTTTCAGACCGGGACATGGTACCGAGACGGTCTTGGTCGCCTTAGTGGATGATCTGCGCCGGGAGCTAGACAGGGGGAGTGTGTCCCTGTTGGTGCTCCTGGACCTCTCAGCGGCCTTCGATACCGTCGACCACGGTATCCTTCTGGGGCGCCTTGCGGAAATGGGTCTTGGGGGCACTGCTTTGCAGTGGCTCCAGTCATTTCTGGAGGGTCGTACCCAGAAGGTGTTAG